CAGTGGGCATGTGCCCCTGCTGTATCCATAGACTCCAACCTCACCCTCTGTCTTGCACTGCGGCTTGCCTCTTGGGGCTGGGACCATGTTATTTCCCAGAGCTTGGCCCATCCTCTTTCAAGGTCAGAGCCATAAATAACACATATGAAAAGTGTCAAGGATCCTGTGGCTACCCCTGCCATGGGGGGTAGCCCTGTGGGCAGCCATGGTAAGACCCCCAGACATGCTTTCTGGCTTCTCTGCATAGGGCAATACACAGCTGAGCATGGGAGAGCCAAGCTGTAGTAGATGCCAGCTGAGCCTCAAGGCAGAGCCCAGGTACAAGAGCATAAAGCACGGGAGCAGGTGGGAGAGCTCCCTGCACTCTTATTCGCCCTGGCCTGTTCTTGCCTCCTGCTGTCCCATTCCAATCTTTGCTCCTTCAGCTCCTCAGGGAGGCAAAGGTCAGAGTCACTTCTGCTCTTGTGACTTAGAGAAGGGGTTCCCAACCCCTGGGCCATGGCCTGGTGCCAGGAGGGCTGGCTACCAGACCAGCAGTGACCGCAGACCAGCAAACCGTGGACTGGCAAACTGCAGACTGGAAGTGACCAGCATACTGTGGACTGGAAGCCAAACCTTTTTTTTTCTGAGTATAAAAAAAGGGTTGGCTATCTGCCCACAGTACGTAGGTCACTGCTGATCTGCAGTTTGCCGGTCTGCACTCATTTCCTGTCTGCAGTTTGCTGGTCCTCAGCCTAAAAAGTTTAGGAACCCCTGACTTAGAGGACAAGAAAGGAGAGGAGGAGGAGCAGTTACATCACGGTTGGGCAAAGTCGGACCCATGGGCCGGATCAGGCCCACGGCGGACTCCATTTCCCAGGAGCCTCTTCCCACCTTGCTGCAGCTGATTTTCATGGAGACCCTAGGAGTGGCATGGCTGTGACAGCACGGGGCCAGGGGCAAGAACAGTTGCCAAAGTGCTGTGGGAAAAGTACTTCTCCGTGTTTGGGCTGCCCGCAAGAATCCACTCTGATCAGGGGCAAGATTTTGAGAGCTGGTTGTTGCGTGAAGTACTGACAGTGGCTGGCATACACAAATCGAGGACTACACCCTACCACCCCTAAGGGGATCCCCAACCTGAGCGCTTCAGTCGCACTCTCTCGAACATGCTGGGTACCCTCCAGCAGGAACAGAAGGCCGCATGGAGCCAGCATATTGCATACCTCGTGCATGCCTACAACTCCACTAGGAATGATGCAACGGGGGTCAGTCCGTATTTACTCATGTTCAGGAGGTAGCCTGTTTACCTGATTATCTGTTGAAAAAGTTGTCTAACACAAATCCTCCTCAGGGACTGACACTCCCAGGTCACAGTCCAGTCAATCTTCAACCAATTGCTAAGATAAACAGAACATGCCTTGAATTTCCCCAGCTTGCATGAGCTCTACCAAACTTTGACACCGGTACAAATATGGAAATCAGTGGTGTAACAATGGGTAAGTGAAAGGGGCATAAGCCCAGAGCACTGCCTAATTAGGGTCAATGGAAAAGTTGCCAAGCACAAATCCTTTTCAGGACCTCCCATTCCTGGGTCACATTCCAGTTGTTCTCTAACAGATCACTCAGAGCAACAGAACATGACTTGAAATTTCATCAGTTTGAAAGAATTATTGTGAGTGAAGGGAAGAGGGCCCCAAGAGGATCCAGGTTGGCAAGGGCTGAGCAACCACCATGGAGCATTGTGACCAGCCCTGAGATGGGTACTTGCTATACTCCCATACTAGGTACCACCACCACTCAGGGCGCAGCACTTGATAGTTACACCTCTGAAGAAAATAAATACTTTAACCTAATCTATGAGGTGGCATCACATCTGAGTTACACCACTAGGGGGTAAGGTAACAGAAGAATTCTCAGCTGACACTGGTGGTGTCTGAGGTTGTGAACAGGGAAAGGAGAAAAAACTATCTATGAGGCTTTTTTAGGACAAACCACATCCTTTGATGTGTAACTACTGTCACCCAACAAGGTGTTAGTGCAGGGTGGTAGACATGCTTAGATTGCCCATGTGATGTCACCGAGGTAGAGGATGGTTCTCCTACTGCTTCTTGGACACAACTGGAACCTCCTGAGAATTAAATCACATCTAAATGCCAAGGATTCACAGGTCTGCCTGTGTTAAAATGGAAGAAATGGAGTTTGCCCTGAATAAGACCAGCACAACCAGGCCCTGCCAGACTTCAGGTTCCCAGAGCTGGTGATATGGGTGGAAATACCATGTAGTCCAGTGTGAGGTCTCTTGGACACCTGGTCCCAGAATGTACCCAGTGTGTTACTCTGGCAATAAACCTCCTCTTTGTGGTCCTTGCTCACCTCTTCTTAGGGGAGGAAAAGAGGCAGCTTTCCCCATGTCCCACTTATCTGACTCACTGAGGATGAGGAGCTGCTATCCCAATGAAGCCTCTGACAGCCACTGCAGGGGTGATGATACGAAGGCTGTTGTGGCAACACATGATGCAAAGTTGCATACAGTCCCTCCTCCATCTACCAGTGCAGGCCCCTCAGTCCAGCTCCAGTTCACAACTGGTAGGGGCAGATGTCACCCTGTTTTTCACTGCTGAACAAAAAGAGGCTGTTTTGCCTGGTTGACTTGCATGTCTAGTGAACTCAAGCACACTACATGACTTAAGTTTAATTCTCAGACCTTTAAAATAACCCTTCTAATCAAAAACATATTTGGTTCTGTTTTTTCATTGGGATCCAGCCTCTAAGTCTTGTGCCTACAAGCAAGTCCATGAGGGTAGGGGTCCATAGCAACAGACCTCTGTGGAGCATTCAGGGCTCTCTGTGTATTTGTACGTCCACTCTTTCTGAGTGGATTCAGTTCTGCTGCGTGTGACTGCATTTCTAGGGATATAGTAACGTTAGAGGAACTAATGCATGTTCAGAGTACTTTGCCTTTTGTGTACCGGGATATGTTTTCATTATATAACTTT